CACTGAGCCTGCTAGTCGTAAAGTTAGTCCTTCTCAAATCTTGAGTCGCAAATTAGGTCCATGTGTGGGAACCTAGTTTTTCCTGAGATTGTCAAAATTAGCTTCTTTCCCCCCGCATCCTGTGTTTTGCTGAGAATCACCCTCAACTGAACCTTTCCCTTTGCCAAGCCACTACCCTGCCTACTTTAACTTGAGTTCCCCTTCTGGAGTCTCAGAATGTATTGTGAAAGCAGGGTTAAGTTCCCCACAGCCCCCCACTTTCCTCCAGGGTGCAAGTGCACTTCTGGCATGGCTGCCGGCGTAACCAGAGGGGTGGGGGAGGAAGGTCAGGTTCATCTGGCCTCTTTGGCCAAGGCCTGTGCTAGCGTCGGAAGTGTGGTGAGCAGGGGGTGATGAAATCTGATTTCCCCATCGTTTTCCACAGAGCAACCTTGTAGCACTTAATAAATTGGTTTTGGAATGTGAAGCAGTAAGAAAATGATGCGATTTCTTTGTTTAAAAGCGTGCCTTATGGCAGCTGATTATTTCATTATGGGACCTATGAAAAGCATTTCCATCTGAGTAGACATCACCCTATTCCATGATGGAAGCCACAGGGTCTCTGCTTAGATTTTACAGACCAGGAGTTGACATACTTCCTATAAAGGGGCAAATAGTAAATATTTGAGGTTTTGTGGACCATAGTCTCAATTCAGCTCTGCTGTCATAGTGTGAAAGCAGCCACAGACAGTACGTAAATGAGTGAGTGTGGCTGTGTTCCAACAAAATTTTATTTACAAAAACAGGTGGCGGTGGCGGGCTGAATGTGGCCTGTGGGCTGTAGTCTGCTGACGCTGCTATAGACGTTTGAGATCCAGCTGAGCACAACTGGTAAGAGCGTGAGCGTGGAGCTGGGCCTGTGTGGACACCGGCCCTGCTATTTCCTGCCTCTGGACTTGGGCAAGTCACTTACTAAGGGACTCTCGTGCCGAATGGGGTTCAGGCCTCTGCACAGGGTAAAGCCAGCTGCTCTTACTTGGTGCTCCCTTGCCTTGGTCAGTCCCTGGATGGGAGGAGCTTTGGAGAATGAATTTAGGCACACTAAAGGCTAATGCTAGTTGGAAGCTTATTTGCTTGTTTACTTTTGAAGCATGAAGTTAAATGAAAAAAATATGTGGCCTCCTCTAGCTGCCGAGAAGGTCACCGTTGTTGCCCAGTGCTGTGGCTTTCACAGCTGAGTAAGTAAACAGTGCAACTAAGCGGAACCAGTTGGACAAGTCAAGTCACAAATAAAGATAAGGTTAAATATCGACTTCATTAGACTCAGCTGGCTTTTCAGCTTTTGTAACAAAGGCTAAGCTGGTTGATGGGGAAGGGCGTGATCAGTGAATGCCACCTACTCAAGGACTGCGGTTCATTCTTCAGCAGAGCTTTCTCAGCCAGCCGCCTTCTCTGTGCCTGGCATGTGCTCAGCAGCAGGAGGGGCTGAAACAGAGTAGATACACTTCTTCCCCTTAAGAGCTCACGGCTAATAAAGGAGAGTAGAAGGAAGTGTGGATAACCACAATGCAAGGCAGGACGGGACAATGGCTGCCCACAAGCTAACCCAGCAAAGTCAGCCTTACCAGCATCGTCAGTCTGTGGCCTGGCTCTGCTCTCCCCACCATGGTTCCAGCCTCCTCCTCCCCCGCACTGCTCTCTGCCCCAGCCTGGGCAGGTTCCACTGCCTCCTCACCTCCTGAGCTCATTTGTCCATTCACGCATCAGAAAAGTATTTGCATGTGTATTATGTGTCAGCAAATAAGATAAGGCCCCTGTTCTCATGGATCTTAAGGGCAGGTTGAAAAATATACAGTAATTCACCAGATAATGCTATGAGGGTGAGGGGTATAGCTCTACGGAGGATTTCCATGATATGTATGTGTGTGCGCGCGTGTGTGTGTGCAAACTATACATACATGCTGCTCCTTTCCTTCTGTTCTGTTCCATTCTCTTCCCTTCCCTTTCTGATTGATTCCTTTCTGATTCCTTGCCCAATTCAAGTATACCCAGCCTGACTTAAGTGTATATTTGGGAAATAGAGCCAAGCATTTTCGAAGCAAAGCATCATTAACATATCAGTACACACAAAAAATATAGTTAGGTGAAGAAGAATTGGAGTCACCCCTCCCCCACCCCGGGAGGGAGATACAGTTTTCATTTCAACTTTATGCCTCATTGTAAATTTGGTTGTAGTATTTTTTCTTTTCCCTTCAAATTTATTTTCATCTCCCCTCCACTTACTATTTTGACAAATTGCAAACCTGTGGGAAAGTTTGACAGAATGGACATTCATATATACTCGTTTCCCCAGTCGTTAACATTTTGTTTCGTTTGCTTTCTCTGTCTACATATTTAATCTTGTATTTTGCTGAAATGTTTGACAGTAAATTGCAGATAGTATGACACTTCACCCCTAAATATTTCATCATGCACCCCCTAAGAATAAGGAAGTTCTCTTTTCTAGCCATAAAACCATTACCATACCACAGAAAGTTAACATTGGTACAATAGTATTAACTGATATATAGTGGGTATTGAAATTTCCTAATAATCTGAAAAAAGCCTTTTATGACTGTTTCTTTTTAATCCATGACACAATGAAGGATCACGCACTGCATTTAGTCCCCTGTCTCTAAATCCCCTTCATCTAGAGCTGTTTCCCTGACACCCCCCTTCCCCCTTTTTTTTGGTCTTTCATAATATTAACAGTTTTGAAGAATCCAGGCCAGCTGTCTTGTAGAATGTTCTATTATAAATATGGAGTTGGCTGTTTCCTCACTGTAAGATTCAGGTTAAACATTTGAGGAAGAATACTACATAGGGGGTACTGTGTCCTTCCCATTAAATCACAATCAAGAATATAATTTGTCCTATTATTGGTAGTGCTAACTAACTTTGATCTCTTGTTACAGGTGGTATCTGTCAGATTTTCCCATTTGAGGCCGTCTTCCCCATCCCCATGTAATTAATAAACCATCTGTGAGGTGATACTTTGAGAGTTGGGAATACCTTGTTCCCCAAGATACTCACCCAATGATTTTCACCCAATGATGTTCACCCAGTGATTTCAGCATCCATGGATAATCTTTGCAGAATCAGATATTACATTGGTGGTTGCAAATGATGTTTTTCCCAATTCTCTGATTCCTTCTGCTTTCATTAGCTGGTATTTTTCTTTGAAAAAGAGCCCTTCCCACATTTTTGTTAGTATTCTTTTGGACTCATGGATTCTTTTTTTATTCGTTGTTATCATCCATTACTATCATTTTCTTTCAACTAAGAATATTTTTAGTTGAGGTATGATTTACACAGTGAAATGTATAGACATTAAATGTACGGTTTGATTAGTTTTGACAAATGCGTGTGCCCGTGTGACTGCCACATACCCATCACCACAGAAGGTTTCCTTTGGCCCCCTTCCCAGTCATCACTCCCACCATCTTCTTGCCCAAGCAGCACTGACCTGAGCTCTTCATTATTCTCTTTGATGTTTAAATTGCCTCAAATGTTGGCAATGAAAACCCCATCTAGTAGGCTCTGTGTCCATTTGTTGTGTCCCCCTAACCTCCGAGTGCTTTCTTGCTTTCTGGCTCATGCTGTTTTTTATTCTTTTTAACAGCTGAAAATATCCTGTGGTATGAATACTAGTTTAATAATTTCTCCACGAGTAGACTTTAGGTTGTTTCCTTCTTTATCCTGTTATAAAAATGTGCAGCAGACTTCTTGAAACACATATTCTTTTCTTTTTTTAAATTAAAATTTATTGGGGGTGACAGTGGTCCACAAAGCTACATAGGTTTCAAGTGTACAGTTCTGTAATACATCATCTATATATTGCATTATGGGAACACATATTCTTGTAACATTTTTGTGAGTATTTTTGTAGTCTAGAGCTCTCGAAGTATTATTTTTGGGTCAAAGAGTATGCACATTCAAATGTTTGATTGATATTACCCAATTCTCCCCTTCTGTCTTAAAAAACTATGTTGGGGCTGGCCAAGTGGCTCAGTTGGTTAAGAGCTCGCTCAAGAGTGTGAGCTCTGAGCAACAGGGTCGCCGGTTCGATTCCCAGCCAGAGCTGAGCTGCCAACAGGTGGCAGGATGGCTCAATAAAAAACAAAAAACAAAATTCTTTTTTTTTTTTAAACTATGTTAATTAAGTTTCCACAAACGGTGCTGGTTTTCCTGCAGCCTAACCAATGCTGAATTTTATCTTGCTGTGTGTATATGATGGTGCAGAGTTTGAATTTGGACTTATCGTTGAATAAGGTAAATACCAACACCACAGATTTTTGGTTCCAACCCCAGTTTTCTTTCTTTTTTTTTTCCCCTAAACCTGTAGAGAATTTTTATAAGCGTTTATTTGAGCCAAACTGATGACATATGCGGGGGAGCAAGATATCAAATGTTCCCTTCAAGCCCAGTTTTGATTGTATAGAAATGAAATCTGTCCTCCAAGGAGAGTGGAAACCCAAGGAGAAATTTTTGCGATTCAGTGTCAGAAATTCTCTGTCATTCGGTGTCACATTGATCATTACCAACCAGCTTCTGGCAGAGGATATTTTTATTGTTTTTATTCTGCATGAACCGAACATGGCAGAGAAATGAGAAGATGTGTGTGAGGGGATGATGACAGTGCCCCAAGGGCTTTTGGGCCTCTTGAGCGGTCTTTATAACCTTTGGTTCAGAGTTACTGCTCTGTATTTCTACTCTTAAATAACTATTGGAACTGATTTTTATTTTGCAACGAGCCTTGACAATTCTACATTTGGGATAGCAGGTTTATCATAAGGTACGTGTGTGTGATTGATCACTCTCTCACATCAGCTAATAAAGACTTCCTATTTTTGTTTTATTTTAAATAGTGGACTTTAAATTAAATACCTTTGTGGATGACTTTTAACTTTTTTGAGGCTGAAGAAGTTGTTTGAAAGCTATTATCTCTTGGGTAAAGTTATCTGTGTTGATTTTCTTTATAGGTATTCGAAGCTGTGATTTCGTGGATCAATTATGAGAAAGAAACCCGTTTAGAGCACATGGCAAAGCTGATGGAACATGTCCGTCTCCCTCTTCTACCTAGGGACTACCTAGTCCAGGTGAGTCCTGTGTGAAGAGCCAGGCCCTTCCCTACTTACCCAGGCCTCCAGGAGTAGCAGTGGGCAACCCTGGTTGTATGGCATGGTTGAGGAGTTTTCTGGGTCTTCTGTGTGGGCTGAGGGCATCAACCCACTGGGTTAAGTGTGAGGTGTGGGAGCATAAGTCTTAAGAGCATTGGTTTGAGACTAAGACACTGGTTCCAGCCCCTGCTGTATTACTTGTTAGCTTGGAGTTTTTATTTAACCTAAAGCCTCAGTTTCTTCTTCCATAGAAGGGAAATTATAATAGAGCCCAGCAGAGTTGTTGTGGGCCCAGAGGAGCTGTAAATAGTATATGTAAGTCAGGTGTTGAGCATGGAGCAGGGCAAAACAAATGTCCAATACAAGGTAGCTGCTTTTATTGTCGAGGACCAAGCAAGGAGGGTCATTTCCATAATGTTGCGTTGTTCCCTCTTTGCCTTAGTTTTAGGGAGCTCGGTGCCCAGCTCGGGGCTGTAACCAACTCCTCACAGGTACCTGGAGTGCATATTGCATCTACTGCCTCGGGAAACATGGTGCCACATGTTTCTCATTCAATCCTATCATAACCCTGTGAGCAGAGGTTATAACCCCCTTTGTACAAATTTGGGCCTTGAGGCTTATGGAGGTTGGGATTTACCTGGAGTTACCTGCTGGTAAGAGGCAGGTTCACGATTCAAATCCAAGTCTGTCTGGCTCCAGAGCACACGCCTTGCACTGAGCAGGCTGCCACCTTTAATACTCTGTTCTCTTTCTCCATGGCGTGACTTATTTTGTACAGTGAATGACATTACATACTTTTTCCAGCAGGCAGAGGATAAAACTTAAATACATGACAAAACAAAACACCGAGGCAGTAGGCTAGCCCTCAGCTATCCAGGAAGTGTCTGGGAGAAATGCAGAGAGTGGAGGAAAGAGGAGAGGAGGCAGCAGCCCAGCAGCCCAGCTCTGTCACCTCCCAGGCATGTAACACTGGGCACATTCTCAGCCTTTCTAAACCTCAGTCTTCTCACCTGGTAAAAACTGCCCCTGCCTGTATGGATTGCCTGGGAATAGAGTGAGATAATCATGTAAAACCTGCTACTATTGGCGGTAACAGAAACGGTGTCCTCACAGGCTGGTAAGGTCCTCAGCTCATGGCGTTGTCCACGGGCCTAAGGGGTGAGAGAAAGGTCCTTTGAGTCTCAGAGCCTCAGCCCCCTTCTCAGCCCTGCATTTTGCACTTGGAATGGTACCACTGCCACCTGGTGGCAACATATCCTTCCTGTAGAAAATGTCCCCTAAGCAGAGGGACTGCACCCACAGAGCTTCCCATGTCAGAGTCTAACCTTCCCATGGCCTGCAGGAAGCTGATCAAAGGTGGAGGTGGACGCCTGGCCTCCAGCAGCCTTGCTTCCGCAGGGAGCAAGGGCAGCTAGAGACCGGGGCTCCAGAGAAAGCGAACGGGGCCTTACAGACCCCTAGTCACAACCTCCATCAGGTATCCACAACCAAAACTTAACAGAGACATTAGAAAATAGTTCCTGGCTTATTATGGCAGAGTGGGGTTTAGATCTGGGGAAGAAGAGAGCCAGAGGCAATGGGCATGAAAACTGTTGTGTGGGACCCTTTTTCCCAAAGGGCTTTTTCCAGGTCCCCTTTAAAAAGGGGCTCTTTTCAGAATACCTCTGGAAGAGGATATTTCGTTAATACTCATTGGACCTTGAAACTTCAAACCGGTGTAACCTCCTGGGATGGCTGTTGGGAGAGGAAGAGGAGGAGGAAGGGGAAGCCCTGGGCAGACCTGTGCCAACACTGTCTGACTTTTGGGGCGGTGTCTCCTTGTGTTGGTTGAATAGTTAACATTTATTAGGCTTTTATTAAACATTTAAAAATATTGTACTAAGTGTGTAACGTGCTATATCCTTAAAATAATTTTTTATTGTGGTAAAATATAACATAAACTTCATAATTTTAACCATTTTAAGCGTGGTTCACGCTTAAATAATTCAGTGGTGTTAATTGCACTCACCATGCTGTACAACCATCACCATATCCATTTCTAAAACTTTTTCCTCACCCCCGATTGAAACTCTGTACCCATGAAGCACTAAGTCTCCAGGGGAGCTTTTCATTCAAGCTGAGTGAGTCCTTTGGGAGAAGTAGCTCTTCATGCATTTCTCTTTCCTCCCAAGCAGATTTAGACATCATCTCTCATCCTTGTAATTTTTTTAAGTGACCCTGTAAGTTTATGATTTGTCCCAACCTAGCTGTTTCTCAGTGGGACAGAGAAACAGAGTGTTCTTGGGCGTATTCTTGGGACTCATCTCTGGGGAAGGAAGTGCCCAGAGGTGACAGAGGCCCAGTCTCACCAGTCCTTTCCCTGCCAGCTCTGATGCTGCCCAGCAGGTGACGGCCCTGGCCGCATTTTCATTCCTAGTTACAGGTGGGGACCCAGGAGAGGCTCCCAGGCCTCGGGCCTGACCAACTTGAGGGCTGAGGTCATTGAGGTGGGGAGGCCCTTTTCGCCCTCTCACTGGGTTTGAGTGCCACAGGGTCAGAACCCTTGTCCTGTTCATCATTGTCTTACTGCTGTCCAGCCCTGGGCTGCCCCACCAGGAGACACTCACTCGCTGTTAGCTGCTGAATGGAATTGACTTTTCCCAACAAACCCGGAACTCTTCCACAAAGAAAACATGAGGTAGCCTCTGGAGGTCCTCCTACCCCTTACAGATATGCCACAGAGCAGTCTGACTTGGACCCAAGGGTGGAGATTTGAGGGGGCACCAGGGTGGTCTCCCCCTTGGCCTTGCTCAGGAAACATTAGGCTTACACTTGCTTAGGTCCATAGCTCTGGAATAAGAGGTGAGGAAGCCCTAGTCCCAGCTCAGATGAGGTTCAAGGTGAGGTCAGTAGATAGGACTCTGATATCACCGCTGTTAGAGAGTGCCTGACTGGCTGTTTTCTCCGTGAGGGTTTCACTGAAGAAGATGGCTATGAGTTCTTCTTGACCTTCACCTTGTTTTATTTCATGCCTCCTAAGCTTAGTTGATAGATCCTGCCCTCTTCCTGTTTTCCTCCCTTTCCTCCTTTCAAATATCTGACCACTTGCCCTAAACATTATAATGCATTCAAACCAGGAGGAACATGGGAAAAACGCTTTCAGGACAACTAATTGTCTTGTTTTGCATAATCTCATTTAAGCCTCAAGACAAACAAACGAACACACATAGTCAGTGAGGTTGTGGGTAACTTCCATATGCCCATTGTACAGATGAGAAAACGGAGGGTCAGAGGAGTTAAGTGGTAGAGCTGGGATTTGTGTCCCTGTCTGTTCTATGCCAGAGTTTAATCACTTACTCCTCGGTGCTTTTGCAATGCAGAGGGTGAACACCAAGTCGTAACCCTGTGGGCCTTTCTTTTGAGGTCTGAGCTGATGTGTGGTGGGAATGAATGAATGAGTGTGGGGGTGCAGGAATGACTCAGCCTTCTGGATCACCTGTGGGTTATTCCCTGCAGACGGTTGAGGAAGAAGCTCTGATAAAGAATAACAACACCTGTAAGGACTTCCTCATCGAAGCCATGAAATACCACCTGCTCCCTCTGGATCAGAGGCTCCTGATTAAGAACCCAAGGACCAAGCCCAGGACTCCAGTCAGCCTGCCCAAGGTAAGTGCCAGCCCAGTCACTGCCGAGAGTCGGCCCTGGCCTGGGAGAGCGGCCCTCCACGCCTGCCTCCAAGCCTCTCCTCACCCATGGTTGCCCTGCATCTTGGTTGCATTTGGACCTAGGAGATGGAGTCTGCCGGCTCCTCTTGAATCTGCTCCGCCTCTCTCTTCCGGGCTCTTCCTTTCTTAAGAGTTTGACGGAACCTCCAGTGTCACCAGGGAGGACTGAGAATAACTGAGTGCCCTCCCCTCCCCTGTTCTTGTTGTGCACTGTGCTTTGGGCTGTGTTGCCGTTGGAAACTGAAGAGTAGCTGTGTGGGTTTGACTTAGTGATGGCCACAACACCCTCTTTCTAGACCATTCCTTGAGTTAGAACAATCCTAGCCTGGTTCCTTCCCTCACCTCAGAGCCATAAAGGTCAATTAGGGCTGCCAAAGAGGAGAAGGGGCCTTAAGGAGTCTGACAGGCAGTGAAGTAGGGAACAGAATTGGGGAAAAGAGGCCTTGTGAGGGGCAGCCAGGGGAAGGGACAGATGAGTACAGGCGGGGACCCCAGGACCTATGCAAGGTACTGGCTGCTTTGGTTCCACTCAAGTCCCCTCCCCTCTGGTCCTCAGGTCGCTTATCGGCAGAATGAAAGATGCTGCATTAGATGATCTCAAAGTCTTTTCTGGCTTGGCATTCGAGTATCCTTTCTAGGACCCTGACATACGGCGGTGTGTGGGAAGGTCCCAGCCAGCCTAGGAGGAGAGGTGGGAGGAGACGAGTGAGCTGTGCTGGCAGCACCAGGGATTACTGGGGCCTTTACTTCTCTTCCTCCCCCTCCTTCCAGCTGGCTGCTGCTTCCAGGAAGGGTTTCAAGGGCTAGAGAAGCATGTGGTCCAAGACCAGATGTTTGGGGTCTCTGAGGTTTGCATTCCTTTTCCTCCTCTGCTCTGTGGCCCTGGATCGTGGAGAATAGTGGTTGCAATGTGAACAGAGGCTACAAAGGTCCCAGATAATAACACCAGCAGCTGACCTCTGCTGAATGCTTAGTGAGTGCCACGCAGTGAGCTGAAGGCATGGCATGTCTACCTCATTTCACCCTTTCAATAGCCGTATAAGGCAGAGGCAGTTTTCCTAGGTTTACAGCAAGGAAACTGAGGGTTACAGAGATTAAGTGACTCGGCCAGCCAAGGTCAGCACAGCTGATATGGTGGAACCAGTGTTGCTTGAATCTTTCTCACCCCCCCAAACCTGATCCCTGAACCCATGCCATCCGGCACCTTGCTTCCCCTTTGTAAGCCTCAGAGTGTGTACTTACCTATCCGGCTGCTGTTGCCTAGTGCTGGATAAGAGGGACAGCGACAGGGCGAGGGCCTTGGTCTGAACGGCCGGTTGCCTTCCTGCATGTTGACCGCCTTTTGTCTTATTTTGTTGAAATATCACACTGAAACCTCTTTATAGCTTTCAACATGAAAATAACAATTTTCTTTAATTATAATATAATTATAATAACATGTGCTCCTTGTAGATTATTAAAAGGATGCTGTAATTTTTAAATAAAGTAAAAAAAAAAATCACCTGAACTCCCTCCACCCAGGGGCAATCACTGCAGTCATTTTGGTGAATTTTCTTCCAGACACATCTCTGTGCACAAACAGATAAAGATATACTCTTATAGATAAATGGAATCTTGCTACATAGATTGTAATCTTTTTTTCTCCTTCTCAACCATATGCTACAGATTGCTTTCAATGCTACCAGTATGGTGAATCAGCATTTAAACTGTAATAGGTACATGGAATTTTATTAAATTTATGTACCATTATTTATTTAACTGTCCTCTATTGGTGGGTTTGCAATCATTTCCATTTTTTTAATATATAAGCATTTCTGTGTCAAACGTCTTTTCAAAGATGCCATCTTATTTTCGTTCGCATTTCTTTAAGTGTGGGTGAATTAATCTTGGTTTCATATGCTTATTGGCCTTTGTATTTCTTTTTTTGGAATTGTCTGCTCATGTTCTTTGCCCATTTTTCTATTGGATTGTACACTTTTTATCAAGGGTTATTAAGGGCTCTTTTTATGTGAAAGAGGGTAGGCCTTTGTATGTATTTAAAGCATTATTTTCTCAGTTTGCAATTTTCCTCTAAACTTAATTACATTTTTTTGAATCCCCCCAAACAGTTTTTTTAGTCAAATTGGTCTGTTTTTGCTTTATAGCTTAGGTTTTGCATCATGCTTAGAAATGTTTTCCCTACTCTGAGATAAAAAGAAAATACTTCCATATTTTTTTAAGTACTTTTATGATTTCTGTTTTACATTTGAATCTTTGATACACTTAGAATTTATTTTGGTATAAGGAGTGAGGGTAGGAATCCAGCTTTATTACTATTGCAAATCATGACCCAGTTGCCCCAAAGTTATTTTATTAAATAATCTCTCTCTCTCCCATCGATTCGAATACCACTTACATTATGATCTAAATTTCCACTAGTTTTTTGTCTTGAGATTATTAATCCTAAGGTGCACTGTTGTCTTATAGGAGGAGGCTTTTTTTATCTGGGTGTTCAGCGGGCCTTGTTCCGTGCCTTTGTGACCTTTCTCTTTGGAAACTGAGGTTCCCATCCTATGTGATATCAGGTTAATGACATCTTTTCTGGAAGCGTATTCTGGAGCTAAGGAAATGGTGCAGAGCCGGCCCAGTTTCTTTGTGTGGAAACCATACCCAGTGACCTCTCCTTTTTTAGACACCACATCTAGCTTTAACACATACATCCACAGACAGACAGTTTTAAAAATCAAAGCCATGTTTGTGTCTGAGCCTGCAGTAAGCGTGCTGAGACCCTCCCCCCATCCCCCATATTGAGTCTACAGTTGAGAAGAGTCTGCTCCTTGTTTCAGAGGCCAAAGTTGTCCCCCTGTGGTCTCGACTCCTCAGAAACCATTTATTTTCAGAATGAAAATGCTTAGATTCCTGGGCACATAGCCGTCTGTGAGCACCTGGAATATGACTTCTTTTGAATCTGTTGGAGGAATTTAAAAAAAGAACAAAAAGGGCTTTGCTGCTGTTTGCCTCACTCTTTCCCTGATTTTCATCCTTGAATGATATAAGGTTAGATTGACCAAGCTGCCTCTCAAATTCTACTCCTGTCACCATTGTGGGCACTTAAATTAGTGAGGGAGATCCCCATGTGGGTTTGAGGAATGGGACGTGCTGAGGAAGACTATTGCTTTGAGGGTTATCAGATTGTATGTTATTTCATTACATCTTCACAATGACAGGTCAGTACGGTTCATATCCCTACTTTACTGAGTTTATTCAGAGAGCTGAAGTTACTTGTGCTGCAGTTACATAGCCAGTCAGTGCCGAGCTGGGTTTCACACTAAGGCCTGTTCCACTGCGGGGTCTGTGTGTGCTTTTTCTTACACCAGACTGTCTCCCAGGGACAAGTGTGGAGGTTTTGGTGACAGATGAAAAGGATCCTTTTCTTTTTTTAACTATCAAAGTCTCCTTTAATTAAAATATAGCATCCCATTCATCTCATGGATAGATGCTTTTCTAATATATTTACTTCTTTTTTAAAATGAAGACTGTATATTTTTTGAGCAGTTTTAGCTTCCTAGCAAAACTGAGGGGAAGGCGCATAGATTTCCCACATACCTCTGCCCTGACACATGCACTGCTTCCCCTCATTATCAACGTCCCATATTATTGACTTTAAAATTCAGACTTACCCGGTATAATAATTTATACACAGTAAAAATCCACTGTTTTTAGGGGTGCAATTTGATGAATTTTTACACCATCCTAATCAAAATGTAGAATATTTTCATCACTCGGAGAAGTTCCCTGGTGCTGCTTTCTAATCAAGCTCCTTCTCCACTCCCCAGCCCGTGGCAACTGGTTTTGATTTCTGTCCTTGGACTTTTGTCTTTTCTAGAATGTCATTAGAATGGAGTCATGGCATACATAGCCTTTTGAACTTCTTTCTCTTCGCATAATGCTTTTGAGATTCATCCATGTTTTTGCATGTATCAGGAGTTCATTTCTTTTTATCGCTAAGTAATATTCCATTGTAAGGATGTACTATAATTTGTTTATCCATTTACCAGTTGATGGACATTCGAGTGTCCAGTTTTCGGCTATTACAGATAAAGCTGCTTTGAGCATTCACTTAAAGATCTTTGTGTGGACATATGTGTTAATTTCTCTTGGGTAAATAATTAGGAGTAGGATTGCTGGGCTGTATGGTAAGTATATGTTTCACTTTACAAGAAATTGCTAACCTGTTTTCAAAATGGCTGTGCCATTATGCATTTCCATCAGCAACGTGTGAGAGTTCCAGTTACTCCACAGCCTTTCCACTTCTTCTGTTATCTATTTTCAAAAATTTTGGTCATTCTCGTAGGCATGTGGTAGCATCTCACTGTGGTTTTGATTTGTATTTCTCTAATGACTAATGATGTTGCACATCTTTTCATGTGCTTATTGGTCATTTGTATATCTTCTTTGGTAAAATCTCTGTTCAGATCTTTTCTCCTCTTTAAAAATTGGGTTATTCTTACTGAGTTGTAAGAATTCTTTATATATTATAGGTACAAGTCTTTTATCAGATAACTATTTTGCAGTTATTTTCTTCTAACCTGTGTCTTTTCATTTTCTTAACAGTATCTTTGGGAGAGCAGAAGTTTTAAATTTTATTAATTTTTTTCTGTTATGGTGTATGTCTTTTGTGTCCTATCTAAAAAATCTTTGCCAAAGCTAAGAACATGAAGATTTTCTCCCATGCTTTCTTCTAGAAATTTTAAAGTTTTATATTTAGGTCTATGATCCATTTTGATATTTTTGTTTTTAATATGGTGTGTGACACAAGAGGTCAAGGTCCATTTATTTTGTATTTGAATGTCCAGTTTTTCCACAGCATTTATTGGAAAGATTCTCCCTTCTTTATTGAATTACTTTGGCACCTTTGTTGTAAATAATTGACTATATACTCGGATGTGTGGTCTGTTTTCT